CACAACCCTGGAAGAGAGAAGAGTAAGGAGAGACATGATAACCACCTACAAAATTCTGAGGGGAATTGACAGGGTGGACAAAGACAAACTCTTTAACACGGGTGGGACACGAACAAGGGGACACAGGTGGAAACTTAGTACCCAAATGAGCCACAAAGACATTAGAAAGAACTTTTTCAGCGTCAGAGTAGTTAACAGATGGAATGAATTAGGCAGTAATGTGGTGCAGGCTGACTCCATACACAGTTTCAAATGTAGATATGATAGAGCCCAGTAGGCTCAGGAATCTGTACACCAGTAGATTGACAGTTGAGAGGCGGGACCAAAGAACCAAAGCTCAACCCCCGCAAACACAAGTAGGTGAGTACACACACACACTTAGTCTCACATTCTTCATGCTGTTCATTGTTGTTATCATCAGCATTGTTAGCTGTAGAACTAACAACAGCACAAACGAGGCATGACTGGGCTAATCTCATCATTGTTGTTGTAGATTCAGCTACTGGGAACAAAAAGTTGCAAGTAGCACGGGCTATGGTGAGCCCGTAGTGGACTTACTTGGCACAGGAGCGGAACAAGTAACACGGGCTATGGTGAGCCCGTAGTGGACTTACTTGGCACAGGAGCGGGACAAGTAGCACGGGCTATGGTGAGCCCGTAGTGGACTTACCTGGCACAGGAGCGGGGCTGTAACTGCTGATCTCATCGAAACCTTTAATTAAAATACTGAACAGTTTGGAGGATGTAGATCCGGACAACTTCTTCATAAGGTCAGATGTAACACAAACAAGGAGCAACGGTGTCAAGCTCAACAAGCCACAGTGTAGGACTGAGAACAGGAGATGCTATTCCACCCACTGGTTTATAAACCCATGGAACTGCCTACCCGCCGAAGGCGTAAATGTCAAAACTGTTAAATTTTAAAATCCAACTGGAAAAAAATCATCAGGGCAAATGGGAGGGGGGGGGGGGACATTTGACAAGCCGCCGGCTTCCTGTCCTTGTCGAGGCCACTAGATTGTTAGTGGCCCTAAGGTAAATTCAGGTAATTATATTGTCATATCATTAACACTTAGTGGGCCAGCCAGAGGCTTGGGCCCGCGCAGGAATATCCCTACAATACCTAATAATAATAATAATAATAATAATAATGTCTTAGGAGGACAGAGTGAACCGCCTGGTCCCAGACACTATTTCCACACCTGTGGCACACCTGACAACCATACCCTGTGTCACATATGGCGACCCAACATCGCGCCAGTCACTAAGCCTCGTCCCGTGGTCGCTACCACCGGCTTGGCACCATCTCTGGATAATTACACTCATGCCAAACCTATCTATTAAAACAGAAGAATACATGTATAATAGTATATATATCAGTATAGGTGGGAATTATTACTGTAATGAATAGCTTTTTCTTAATTAGTTTAGTGAGGTCCCCCATACTCATCCTCCGGTCAGAGAGAACGGGAGCAGTCACATTGTTTACGCCGCTGGAATTCTCTTTCAGTTCAGCAATTTACATATGTGGTGTAAATTGGTTACATATAAGTTTAGTTTGCCTGTGCTGTAATGCACCTACACTCATGCGGTGGGCGGCGGTGGATAGGTGTATACACTGAGGGTGTCGTGCAGTGAAGTTAAACGTACATATTGATCTTAAGTTGTACCTCGTGAACTTTCCTTTTATTTATATATATATAAAACAGTTTAGGCAGGAAGACAGTGTAGCGAGGTAGTGTGGACTAGCAGGGTGTACGAGCCTTAGCGCTCTTCATCTCATGTCTACCTCATTTTACCTCCATTTTTGCCTCTCATATATACCTCCTTACCTCTTACCTCCCTCGTTACCTTCCTCCTCTCTCATACCTCCCGCAGGGACTTATTTTCCTGACTCATCAGGATTTATAAAGAAGGGGAAAAAACGTGCTCATCAAGCGCGAACATCTCCTTCTCATCCAGCGGAGAATAATCTGCGTTACCTGGGCTCTAATTGCGGCCGCCAGTGTCGCTGTATAACTTTCCCCACTCGGGGCCTCTGGGGGGAGCCCGCCCCGCTCTCCGGGGAGCGCGCGGGTAGATTACCTCCACACTCTTGGCAAGTCTTCCCCGCCCATCACCACACTCAGACACATCCACGACGGACCGAAACCTCCTTTTGTACATGTGTGGGTTGGTTGTCTACACTCACCTGATCACCAGGCCAGTCTGTGTACACGCTGTCCTGCTGACCTGATTAGGCACGCCGAGGACACATTCTATTGTGGGAGGTCAGGAGATTCTCTTCTGATCACTTATGATCTCCCTGATTCAAACTAGAGTGTATACACACCCACGACGACTCACCCAAAACTCGACTTTACAAATCAATTTCTTAATGAATTGCCTGATTAACATGGATGGCATTAGTTGCTTTTATCCTCCCGAAGGAACACGTGGAGGTCCTCATCTTGGTGTGTGACTGAGGCAGCGTGTGAAGCTTCTCATTTTAAGGTGTGTGTGGTCATTAAGGCGCTCGCTTAATCCAAATGCCTTGTTTGTTTTGTAGTTTTGTAGCTCCCTCCCTTGTTATGCTTCGATATTGTCTCTTCAAAGTTTATCATAGCATTCTTGTTCATAAATGTTCGTGTGAATGTCTGCGATTATATTCCATCTGAAGATGTTATACTAGCGAAAGCCGGGGGGGGTAGAAATAGCCTAAGCTACTCTATCCCTTTGAGATGTATTTATTGCTTATCTCAATAAACATACTTGAACTAGCGAAAGGACAAAACAAAACTTTTCTCCTACCTGCACATGATCGACCATATTCTATTGTCAACATAATATTCAGAAAATTGAGCAAATTCGCAAGGGCCGTGACGAGGGTTCGAACCTACGTCCGAGAGGGTCCCCAGACGCTGTTTCCTCGGTAGGAATAGTGTGTTGTTGATGGAATAGCACAAAAAGCCACGGAACAAAAAACGATGTGATGTCATATAACTCTGAAACAAATTAAGTCAGGCATTGAGTTGATCCAAACGGATATAGAAAGAGTCAAGAGATCTATATTTGTAACAATAATAACAGTAAAGCATTGCACGCTATGCAGGCGTGCAATGCCTGCATAGACAATCGCAGACAACGACTTGAGAATGGTCCAGGACGGACCGAAACGTCGTCGTCCCTTCACCTTCTAGTGTGTGTGGTCTGGTCAAATAGCACGCTAATGAGCACCAACTCGTCCATTACACAAGGTAGGGTAAAGTTTGACTGGAAAGATTCAGTATACATGAGATTATGGTTACTGTATACATATTATTTCCTGTAGTATGGTGCGCATGTCTATTTATTTTTATACAAGAAGGTACATTTGGGGTTAAGAGAGTACAAAGTAATGATGATTTTACATTCTTGTAAAGCCACTAGCACGCATAGCGTTTCGGACAGGTCCTTAATCTAACAGATAATTTTAAGTAGAAGATTTCCAGTAAAATTGACAAAAAATGTTTACAGGTACATTGTAAGAAATTTTGACACAATAAACAAAGATTAGATTAGTACACAATAATAACAATACACTATAATGACAAGGTTTACTAGGTACATTAGGGTAAAATTTTAAGGTTATCAATTGGTTCATTGTAGTACAATTTGAGGATCATTTCAAGGAATAATGCAGTAGAATATGCACTCAATATAACAACCATGATATCAGATGATATCAAAGATTACAATGGTAAAGTTATATGGCTTAGGTACATATATTGGGGGATTGGGTAGCACTAGGTACAGTGAGAGTTAAAGCACTAGGTAGGAAACTATGAAGACGAAATTAGGTACTTTTTGTTTTTGTTTTTAAAGAAGGCAAAAGTTGGACAACTTTTCAATTCGTTAGGGAGTAAGTTCCGTAGACTAGGTCCCTTTATTTGCATAGAGTGTTTACACAGATTAAGTTTGACTCTGGGGATATCAAAGATATATTTATTTTTGGCGTGGTGATTATGTGTTCTATTACAACTGTCCAGAAAGAGTTTCAGAACAGGGATTGCGCCCAAGAAAAGGGTTTTGTAAATGTACTTGGCACAAGAGAATGTGTGGATTGAATTTATGTTTAGCATGTTTAGGGATTTAAACAGGGGAGCTGTGTGTTGTCTGAAAGCAGAGTTTGTTATTGTTCTTATAGCAGATTTTTGTTGGGTGATGATGGGCTTGAGGTAGATTGCAGAGGTTGAACCCCATGCACAGATACCATAGGAAAGATAGGGATAGATAAGTGCATAATATAGTGAGAGGAGAGCAGAGTAAAGTGCATAATATAGTGAGAAGAGAGCAGAGTAAAGTACATAATATTTGATTTTGGAGAGTATACCAACTGTTTTAGAGACTTTCTTAGTTATGTGTTGTATGTGGGTGCTGAAGTTGAGTCTCTTGTCTAAGTATAGGCCAAGAAACGTTCTATCATTTTTATTGCTGATGTTAACATTGTCTATCTAAAGCTGAATTGCATTTTAATTGAATTTTAAGCGATCAAATAGCCTAAACTATTCGATCGCTTAAATAGATGACAACATATAAGATACTGGAGCCCGCCTTCTATACTGAAGGGGCCGGGGGGGGGGGGGGGCAATAGACAGAGTGGACAATGACAGCCTCTTTAACCTGAGAAAAAGTAGGACAAGAGGATATAGTGGAAACTGGACACCCAAATGTTACGAAGAAATGTAAAAACATAAAAACTCGCAGCTTGTACGGGTGATCACAGATAGAACAAGTGGACTAGAGTTCACGCCACCCCTCATACACAACTTTAAGACCAGATTCAACAAGGAATTCGAACATTAAGATAGTTAAATTATAAGCATAATTTAATAGGGCATGAAGAGGTAAACCTCACTACCCCCATAGAGAACTGATAGACGGGTAAAAGAGAAGGTTAGCGCCTCTGGTGATCAAAGGCCTCACTAACCTACCGGTTGACAGTTAGGACATTACGGTCCTCCGAGGGCCAGCTGCTAGTCCGGGTCTCCCACTTCTTAAAATAAATAAATGGTCCATTTGAAGCTCGTAAGCTGCTGGAAATGGACGTGGCAGGACTGATCCCCGTCGCTGCTCTAACACCTGCTGGGTATTAATTAGCTGTGTGTATAAAGACGGTCTTGCTGCCGTAACTGTTTAGTAAATTAAAATATTGCGTCATGTTGCAGTGAACAGTCCGATTCGTTCTCTGTTTTGCTGTTCCATTCATCATGTAAAAACCTGTCATTTATATTTACATTTTTCGACATGATTATAGTTTTTTCTCATTTAGTTTTATCTTTTCAAGTGTTCCCTTTATTATTTATCCCAAACGCTCGGCTTATTAGTGGCTTTTTGCGACGTATCTTCCTATCTATGAATCCAACACTGCTTATATAATAATAATAATTCATTGTGTCGTGGGGACAGGCAGCCAGAGTGTATTCATACACGTTAAGCTTATATCGAGATCCCCCCCCCCACTCCCTACCCCCATAGGTCGAATTACTGACCCTGCCTCCCCCCCCCGCCCCCCAGGATGCAACCCCACAACAAGCTGACTAACTCCTGAGTACCTACTTTCTGCTAGGTGAACAGACACATTAGGTGATAGAAAATATGCCCAACCAACTATATTCTATGTATCATATGGGCAACCTGTCCCCAGGGAGGAAATATTCTCAAAGGAATGGCTACATGATTAGTGCTAATTATCTACTTTGATCATAGCTAGGTTAAGGTTACTTTAGGTTAGTGTTTGGTTAGGTTAAGTTATGTTTCATTATGTTTGGTAATGTTAATACAGTGTATTATTAACAATGTGAAATATGGAATTCAAAACTATTTCAGTGCATCTGAGAATTCTGTTTACAGAAAACCAAATTCTTCAAAGAAAACATTTTTAACATAAGTATATTTTTTATATTTTAAACTGGCAATTTATAATACAATAATGTTATAACTTAAGAATCATCTCTGTTTAGGACAAAGGTACATGTAGACTATTAATGCAACTGTAAAATGCTTTCAGACCATTACAGATAACTATCCAGGTGATATGAGGGAAGGTGTGGTTTAGTGGGTCGTTGGAAGGGTGTTGGTGGGTTAGTTGGTCAGAAGGTTGTTGGTGTGTTTGTGGATTTGGAGTTTGGTAGTTGCGAGCCTGTCCTATAGGCAGTTATATGCCTATGGGGATCTTTATATTAGATTTATTTTGCAATGTGGACAGAAATAACTCTAAAGTGGTGAATGCCTATATAGCTGAAACAGGTAATGAATATATCCAATTAGTTCATTAAATACAGCAAATGTTGTAAACATAATTTTGTATGATATTGTAAAAAAAATGTATGAGATGTTGCCTGTACTTAGGCTTATATCGAAGTTCCCTCCCCTCCTTACCCCCAGGTCAACTGTACACCTTCCACAAGGATGTAACCCCCACACAAAAAACCTGCCTAACTTTTTTCAGGTGAAAGGAAAAGTACTACTGAAGCATTTCTGTTTCTCCTTGGGATCGAAAATAAGATCTGAGAAATCGAGAAAATAGACGACTATACTACAGGATTGATAATTCATATTAGGAATAACTAAGGCTGTCTGGTTTCTGGTTGACGAATTGATGAAAGATACCATTTTTCTTGTTTAACTTTTCTACTACAGATGTAGTGGCTAGTTTGCAAAGGTAATCTATCTAATCAGAGATTGTTTATATATATTTAATTTTCTGTCCTCCATGGACAGAGTTAGATGAATTACATAATGTATTATGTAGTGGGTTATTGAGCACTCGAGGAGAATTGACAGGGTGGACAAAGACAAACTATTTAACACGAGAGGAACACGAACAAGGGGGGACAGTTGGAAACTGACTACCCAAATGAGCCACAGACATTAGAATTTTTTTCAGTGTCAGAGTAGTTAACAAATGGAATGCATTAGGCAGTGATGTAGTGGATGCAGACTCCATACACAGTTTCAAATAGTGTATAGATATGATAAGAGCCCAATAGGCTCAGGAATCTGTACACCAGTTTTATTTATTTATTTATTCACAACAGTTGATTGATAGTCGAGAGGCAGGACCAACGAGCCAGAGCTCAACCCCTGCAAACACAACTAGGTGAGTACAACTAAGCAAGTACAAAGAGTGCTTTCATAATCAAATTTAAGTTATAATATTAAGCATCGAGTATACTGTATACTATATATCAAGGGGGGGCAAAGTAGCAAGGTTTTATTGGCTTTAACATTTTAATTTTATCTAAATATTGTATGCTGTATTATTTTAGATACATTTTATTAGCTGTGTAGTTTTCCTTTTATCATATTTAATTTTTAGAAATATATATAGATTTTTAGTGTTTAGCACTGTATTGCAGCAGTGAGCATTGACATGACAGAGGCGTTTTATTCTGGAAATAACTCCTAAAGCTAACTGATCTGTTATTTAAGAAAATGAGTTGTCATCAGCAAATGTTATTGTCTGAAGGTGCTGTGTGGCAGTTTGTAGGCCTTTCATGTATATGAGAAAGAATAGTGGACCAAGTATACTATTGTGGAAAGCCGATATTAAATGTCAGTAACATCATTCACAAAAACAAACTGGTGACCGGAAGCCGGCAGCTTTTTAAAAGTTTGTTATTCCTGAGGCGTTTTTCCAGTTGAATTTGAAGTAGAGTATGGTATTGTCTTGGTAGTTACTGCTTTGGCATATAGGCAATTACATGGGTTTATTAACTTATGGGTTAAAGAACAAAATATTCAATCCTACATTGTAACTTCTTGAGCTTGCAGTTGTATCTCTTAATATTTTCCAATTTGTTCATAGTAATTAAGGTCTTGATGAGATCAGCTCTCTTGTCTGGTTTGTAGTGATATTAGCTCTAAGGCCTTCAACCTCTCCTGGTATGAAAGTTGACATAGTTCTGGAATTATTTTTGTCGCTTTGCATTGAGCTTTTTCAAAGTAAAAACTGTGTGTGCTTCTGAAGGTGAGGTATCCATGTATTGATGCAGTTTTCCAGATGGAGGCACATAAGCTTTCTACATCTGAGTAACCACTTGCTGTTTCCTGATGTCAAGAACTTGTTTAATTATTCCTAAGGTTTCATTTTTTTTCAACAACTCTATACAGGTTGCATATACAGTAGTTCATTGAATTGAGGTTGCACTGTATAAGCTTGTGGGCCACTACAAGCACAGCCTTTTAGATCAAGTTATAAAACAATCCTCCCTCAAGCTAGTGTTCAAGAGTAGAAAAGCGCTTGTAACCGATTACAGGTAAACTGCAGGTACTGTCTATGGGTATGGGAGATGTCCCCCCACATAGAACCCAAACCAAACTATGAACGGATAGGCTATCGACCAGGTAAACCCTGTGATTGAAGGAAATTTAAAACCAAGGCCCTTCATACAAGTCGAGAGAAAATCTGGAAGCCTAGGCATTTAGCCTCTGTCTCATCTGCAGGTACTGCCTCTGCCAGTACCTAATCACATAGTAACACTCCATCACATAGTAACAAAGGGTGTGTGAATAATTTTGTTGACAGTTTACATTTGGTCAGGTCTACATCAGCAGATAATGAAAATTCCCAGATACATACTTATAACCGAGTCAAAGCCGAGCAGTAGTAACATCTAGAAGTCTTCTGATTTTATTGGATGATCCATAAATGTGTGGGTCCTCTTGCACGATAGTATGATGATAGATGGAATTACTGGTGTCGATTTCAATTTGCCTCATATCTACAAGATTTTGTTGAAGTTCTTGGTGTACTCTCAGACCATTTAAGGTCTGAGAGTACCTGAGACTCTCAGACCATTTAAGGTGTATTCTGTTGGTTGAAGTGTTCATGTAGCCATATTTCATTAAAGTTGATAAAGGAAAGTTTTCCTCTTATGTGTGTAATAATGCATATAAATACTAAATATTAAATTAATTTACTATGGCGTTTTGTCTTCTGTTTATAATAATACACTGTAATTAAAATTATATAATACGCAGTAATATATCTTGTGGGCTGACTCAATTTTCTGCTTGGTTAGGTCTGCTCCTCCTACCCTTGCCACCAGACGATTGAAGACCTGATGTTGTTCTATTACGTCCCATTATTAAATTAAGGTGAGGCGACTAAATCTAATACTGTACGGTGTAGATACATTAATTATTAATTTGATTTCTTAATTAGAATTTAGCAACCACTTTTGCGCTCTCGGCACGCGAGCACTGCACTATTCCCAGGTTGGTTTGGGCATTTTGCGAGAGCACGCAGTAATTCTGAAAAGTGCACTCTTTTCAACTTTGTTACCTCAATTTTCGTCCAAGGTTTTTCAATTTGGTATCAATGTGTTCGCAATAGAATTCACAATAGGACTATATGCATATAATTTAAAAAAACACAGCGCGCTCCACCCGCCGAAGTGAGGAAAGCAGGCCAAGGTTACCCGGAAGAGAGTGCCACGCCACCCTAAGGAGCGCCTGGCCTTCTATTAGAGAGTGCGGTAGTACTGTAAAGTTCATACTCTTTTTCAACTTTGTCATCTCAATTCTTGTCCTAGGTTTTTCAATTTGATATCAATGTGTTCGCAATAGAATTCTCTACAGGACTAAATGCAAATAAACTCCAAAAGCCTGGCTTACCATCCGCAGCAAACAGAGAAAGTGAGAGCGAATTACCTGGGAGCGAGCAAGAGCAATGAAATGCATACACTCTTTTCACTTTGGATACCTCAATTCTCATCATAGGTCTTTCATTTTGGTATCAATGTGTTTGCAATTGACTTCTCTATAGGACTAAATGCATATGAACCCCAAAAGCCCGGCCTACTGCCCACAGCAAACAAAGTAGTGACATCGCGTTATCCTCGTGAGCGCTAATCAAGCACAATAAAATGTGTATACTCTTTTCAACCTTATATATAAGGCATATAAGGTTCAAAACAGCGGCGTGCCCCTCCCACAGCCAAGTGCGAATGCTGGGCACAGTTTTTAGCCGAGTTACCGGGACTCCTTTTACTGAACGGGCGACGCAGCATTGCGTCGTTACCGAGCGATAATGTTAATTAATTTTATTTCTTAATTAGAATTTAGCAACCACTCTCAAATTATTATTAACCCTTGCACTGACTGAAAGGCCGGAAAGTGTGGGAGGGAGGAAGGGCTCGCCATTATGAATATCAACACAGCCCACATTGGTGATATACCATGTTGACGTTGACAAGATCGTTGCATTAGTTGCCTGAAGGTCCAATAACCTCGTTTAGATAACTGCACTGGTTTTTCTCCTCACAGTTGATAAGTATCCAAACATAATACGTAAGATTTGGTTATTTATTGTGTATGTAAGGTGTTAGGAGATAGCATGGTTACACTACAGGACATCACCATAATCAAAAGTGAGAATACTAATTCTTCAACTTCAAATAGAAGTTAACAATTGATGAAACTGGGATTCTTTAATTACATAACCAATTGTGATTTTCCCAATCTAATAATTAAATTGCCGGCAGGAGAGAGAGCATCAACATTACGAGTCGCACAAGAGGCAGCCATATTCCCCACGAAATCGTTTCTGGTCCATGGACGTTGTTAATTGAGGCTTTCTCTGATCTACGGACTTTCTTAGACAGATAAGAATTTTGTTTACTACTAATTCCAATTCAGACAGTGCAGTAAATCATATAAATTAATTAATTATTCTGAAATAAACTTGGAGTATCAGAATTAATGCTTTAAATCAAGTAAATAATACTGCACCATCTGAATTCAAATAATTAATAAATAACCCCCACTGTGGGAACTGTGTATAAAGTAACCTATTTTATACAGTTTGCTAGAAATTAGTTAAATAGTTAAGTTATCCACATAATCCCACATTGTTGGTCTGTCGTACCTAGATGGCTAATTGCTAGTCATTTGGACCTAGATGTGCCATAGCCTAATTTGCTACAGAACACATTAACTTAATCAAAACTTAATTCAAATAAATTATTGTTGCTAGTTCAGATAGAAGCAACAAACTTCATTAAAATAGCTAAAATAATTAAACAAACAACCTCGCAACAAATAATATCTAGATCACTAGGCTAGTGTCGCTGTAATTTGATAACAACATTAACAGTAGCACTTGCTGGCCTCATGATCTCGCCATAATACACATTTCGCAGCTAGACCTTTTTGTGAGAAATTATTCATTGATTGTGTTCACCTGTCATAAGAATCTTAAGGTTATAGAACTACTAAATAAAAAAGTACCATCATATATTACCAACACGTAATGAGAGGCTAAATGTTACTTTAAATTTACTTATCTATATTCCCAAGTTTAGGAATTGTTTAATCTTTGAAATAAAAAAAAAAGAATTAAATATAAAAAATGAACTTGAGCTCTCCTAGTCTGCACCATCATTATAATCATTACAGTAGTTAGTGCCCACCTGTGAGGGCAGGATTACAGTACTGTATATATTTACAGTTAAGCTAGGCTTGTACCAAATGCTGTACAATCTAGCCATTTATTAATAATATATTGTGCAGACATAAGAAGGGTGGGACTAATTAGCACAAGTTGTGCTGAACACTAGACAGTGTTCATTATTTAAATTTGTGGTAAATAATACTTACATTTAACTCACTATGATTAGTGTTATAATACACCTGCGTAACACACTGAGGGGTAAGATGTAGAGCTGCACCATAATACCCAGGGTGATGCTGAAGAGACGACCTGATTCACAGTATCGACAAACATAACCGTAATCCACAAGTTGTATTGGATCATCACTCAAATTAACACACAATACTGTATACACAAAATGTAGATATACTTAATTGTGAATTGACCTTAGTTATGACAGACAATATGTCTACCACCAGTACCTTGTACTAGTGAATCATAAAGGTTGTAACCTGACAGCTTCAGAAATGTGAGCAGCTAGCTCAGTCTTCCATTGTGACTCCTAAACTAGTTGAAAGCCACATAAAGGGTGGCACAACAAAAACCACAGAATGTTGCTGAAGCAGCAGATAAACACATACAAACCAGCTCAGGTTTCTTAAAGACTGTCTTGCTGAGCAAGTTCTCCCTCTTTCTTTATCTCACTTTCTCCAGTTCAACACTTCGGGTTCTCCTTTCCCTGAACATGCCCGCCTTCTTCTTCAAGAACTTATTCATGCCACCTCCTTGCAAGTTGACGAGGCTTTTCTTGCTGTTCGTCAACAGCAACGCTTTGTCCTCTTCTCTTCCCAGTGATCTATGCAATATCATTTTTCCAATTGCATTTGACACTGCTCACATCTCCTCTTCCCACCACTCCTCCACACTACACAACAAACTTCAATGCCTGATCTCCAACAGTCCTTGGGCCAAATACTCTCTCTCTGACTGTGTTACCAACCTTTCGTCCTACTCTCTTTCTAAGCACCAGCAAGAACTTCTTGGTCTTGGTCTGTCTTTTGCTACTTCCCCTGGCCCACGCTGTGGCATTGATCTCATTAGTTCCTTTGACAGGTTTGTCAATTCTAACTCTAGTACTCTTTCGGACCTGTCTGCCTTTAGAGGGGCCCTTATCCCCGTTCTTGACAGCTTGTTTTCTAAAAATCTCCACCTTCCTCGTCGCTTCCAGCTTGCCCTTGCCTCCCTAAAATCTAATGCCCTTCTCTTCCTTATTTCTATGGTCTTCCTAAGACTCATAAACCTGGTGTTCCTCTTCGTCCTATCATTTCTTCACGGGGCTCTTGTCAGCTATCCTCTTGCCTCCTGGCTCGCTAAAACCCTAACACCTTACCTTGGCACTTTTTCCCCTGCCCACCTTCGTCACTCTCAGGACTTCATAGAAAGACTGCGCCTGCAACCCTCTTGTAAGATGCTTAGTCTTGATGTCGACTCTCTGTTCACTAATGTTCCGCTCGATGACGTTCTCTCTTTCCTTAGACAGAAGGCGTCAGAGGGCCTCCTTCCTCTCCCGCTTCCCACTGACGTTTTCCTCGATCTCATTAGACTCTGTGTTGACTCTAACTCTTTCTCTTTCAACGGTAAATATTACACTCAAACTTTCGGTGTCGCTATGGGTTCCCCTCTCTCCCCTGTTCTTGCTAATTTCTACATGGAATACTTCGAAACTGTTCTTCTTCCTTCTATTGATACTCGTCCCTCTCTCTGGCTTCGCTATGTTGATGACATTTTTGCTTTATGGCCTCATGACCTTAATCTTTTCCAGCCTTTCCTCGCCTCTCTTAACAATCTGGCTCCTTCTATCCATTTCAAAGTTGAGTGGGAATCTAATTCCCTCCTTCCTTTTCTTGATGTTCATGTTCACAGCTCTGTGTCTGGGTTCTCTTTCTCTGTCTACCGTAAACCCATGCATAGTGGCATGTACATTCACTTCTTTTCCTACCATCCTCCTTCTGTTAAGAAAAGTGTCCTCGTCTCTCTCTTCCTCCGCGCTCTACGCATCAGCGACCCTCAGTTTCTTGATTCTGAAATTGCCTTTATCTACAAATCATTCTCTCGCCTTGGTTATCCTTTGCATTTCATCAACTGTGCCTACTCTCAAGCTAAACGAAATTTCTTTCATCCTAAACCTGCTTCCAACACTAGTAGCACTGTACTATGCCTTCCCTTCATATCTGAACTCAAAACTTTTACCAATACCTTTCGTCCTCTTGACATTAAACTCGCCTTTCGACAAACTAACACACTTCGTAGCAATCTAGTTCACACTGCTCCTCCTGCTTCTAATGCTGCTGGTGTCTACTCTATTTCCTGTTCATCTTGTCCTCTCCAATACTTTGGCGAAACTGGCCGTACACTGAATGACAGACTTAAAGAACACAAGAGAAGTGTTAAGTCTGCAGACACTAACAATGCTCTCTTCTGCCATGTGAGGGATTCTAATCATCCCATTGATTGGTCTTCCTCCAAAATAATCTTTCCTGCCTCTACTCTACACAGACGCCGTCTTGTAGAATCGGCTCTTATACACAATGTACCCAACATGAACTTGAGTCCTGGCTTTGTTGCTGTGGACTCTTCCCTTTCACAGTATATACTCAAATGCTCTAATCTTTCTAACAAACGTGACTTAACATAAGCTTACCCCTTCCATTTATCTTTCTTTCTCTTTCCTTTTCTTTCTCTCTTCTCCCCTTTTTCTGTTCATTGTCTTCTCCTACGCTCCCTTGCTATCCTCTTCTTATTCCTATTACTATCTCCTTCTCATTCGGTGGTTATAATAGGAGCTGCCTCGTATGGGCCAATAGGCCCTCTGCAGTTCTCATTATTACTACTATCCCCTACACCTTACTTTCCTCCTCAGCTCTCTCTTGCCTATTTATTGCCTGTCTCTACCTCCTCTTCACAATCGACTTGAGAATGGTCCAGGACGGACCGAAACGTCGTCGTCCCTTCAACTTCTAGTGTGTGGTCTGGTCAACATACTTCAGCCACGTTATTGTGACTCATCGCCTGCAAACACATACAAAGTCTCAATGAAGAAAAAATTAATGCAGACTGACTAGCCTGCAGGCCATTCCAAGCAATAGCCTGTTGGAGCAAGCTCTCAAAAGTTGAGCCTGGCCCTGGGCCAGGCTTGGGGAATAGAACAACTCCCAAAACCCCATCCAGGTAGATGACTTCCTTGCCGAAACAGCAAAATATGAGGAAAAAGTCAAAGATTGTCTGGCAGATTAATCCAAATACTAGTACAACTACCTAGACCTGGATTGAACCTGGATGAGGTTCTGGGAGTTGAAGAACTCTCCAAGCCTGGCCCAGGGCCAGGCTTGACTTGAGAACTTGGTCCAACAGGCTGTTACTTGGAATGGCCCGCAGGCCCACATATCCATTACAGCCCACTTGGTCAGGCACTTCTTGCAGAAAACGTCCCATTTTTGAAGATTTCCTCTTTTGTTCCAGCAGTACAGTATTTCTTAAACTTGCTGAGAGGATATTGAACAACTATGGACCTCTGATGTTCATACATTCTCTG